AAGAAGAAGAAGAAGAAGAAGAAGAAGAAGAAGAAGAAGAAGAAGAACTTACAAGGAGTGTCTCACAGATCAATAATAAATGAAAATAATCCCTGGTCTGAGCCCTATGAAGAAGTTTTTTGTTTGTCTGTTCTAAATTTCCTTCTGATCAATTTTATTGAATAACCACTTCTCCAGTGGCTTAAGAAAACCCCAGGTCCTGCTGCTTACAACAAGGAAAAAAAAAACTTACCTTGAGCCAGTTTTTCATGCCATATATAATTTTATACATCTTGATCATGTTGCCCTTTATAGGCCTTTTACTAGGCTAACGATCTTAACTCTTCTAGTCTTTTCTTTCTTGGATGTGTGTCAAACTGACATATTGTTTTGATTGAATTATTTTGTACTTTTTTCAGCTGTATTCTGCACTTTTATAAATGTCTTGACCAGACCTATATACATTGTTCTGCTCCAGCCATACCATAAATGACAACATTGGCTGCTTCCTTTTCAGCCCCTTTTCTAATAATCCCTAGGTATGTTCACTGCCTTAAATTATAAAAATAATAAAGGTGGGATAAAAATAAATAGATCTTAGTCTCACCATGATAAAATACGTGGTGCAAGGAAAAGAGTTAGTAAGGTTGTAATTTTAATGATCAAGATTCATACAACAATCATCTATAGTGCAGCTTCATGACCAATAGGATGAAAACAGCTCAGTGAGAAGAGGAAGCAAAAGTGCTGGTCCTTAATTGAATGCATTATTCCCCAAGAAGCAGGATTAGGACAGATACATGTATTTTCATCTTAAGCAAACTGTTTTTCTCCTTGGCCTCAAAGCTCCCACAGTTATACATTATTTCTCCGAGGCACAAGATTTTCATTTTCAAACTGTCAGCTATTTTAACAGCTAAATTTTAAGACAGTATCTTCTCATGTTTAAAGGCAAAATATTGACCCTTTTCTTTTATAGGAGCAGTTATCCTGATTACCAAGAAGGGGAGGATGTAGAGATGTCTGAACAACTGCCATCAGAAAAGAAATTGGACTATGATGATGAAACTATGGAACTGATTTTACCTTCAGGTACGTGACACTATGAAAATTAGCCATGATTGTCTTGCAAAGCTAGCTTTCTGTTACTGCAGTTTAGAAGGGTGTAGCTGCTAGTCTGGGACAAAGGTAAAGGTTCCCTTCGCACATACGTGCTCGTCGTTTCTGGCTCTAGAGGGACGTTGCTCATCTCCATTTCAAAGTCGAAGAGCCAGCGCTGTCCGAAGACATCTCCGTGGTCCTGTGGCCAGCATGACTAAACGCCAAAGGCACACGGAACACAGTTACCTCCCCACCAAAGGTGGTCCCTATTTTTCTACTTGCATTTTTATGTGCTTTCGAAATGCTAGGTTGGCAGAAGCTGGAACAAGTTACGGGAGCTCACCCCATTATGTGGCACCAGGGATTCGAACCACTGAACTGCTGACCTTTCGATCAACAAGCTCAGCGTCTTAGCCACTGAGCCACCACATCCCTACAGGAATACATATATATGGCTTCTAGATTTCTTGCTTGGTGATCTGCCTTCCTATAAAAAAAAAAGTACGCTTTTGTATCTATTCCCTCCATTGCAGAACACAGGAAACTGCTGTAAGAGTAGATTTGGTTTAGGACAGTGGTTCCCAAACTTTTTCAGTCTACCGCACCTTGGTGCAACAAAGTCATCCTCAGTGCCTCCCACCCAGGGGTGGGATTCAAATTTCTTAACCAGTGATGTGGGCGTGGCCTAATTTGTGGGTGTGCCTTAGTGGTCACGTTACTGGGTAGGCATGGCTTGCTGGATGGGTGTGGCTTGGTCACATGACCAGGTGGGCATGGTGATCATGTGACTGGGTGGGCGTGACCAGGTGGCCATGTGACTGGCAAACCAAATACAAATGGTCCTCTCTTAATGACTGGTTGCTTAGCAAGTGTTCTAATTTATGACTGACCATCCCAGAGCTACTTGACCTGTTTTTGGAGTTTTGACAGCCATGCATGCACACACACACACACACACACACCCTTCTAACCCTGCTGAGCAGGTGGTTAGACTAGATATCTCATTCACTTCCTCCTCCCTTTCTTTCTTTTTTCTTTCTGTCTCTTCCTTCCATCCTCCCTCTTTCTTTGTCTATCCCTTTTCTTTCTTTTTCTTCCTTTCTCTCTCCCTTTTTCTTTCCCTTTTCTTTCCTTACTTTCTTGTCTCTTCCTCTCTGTCTCTCTCTCTTTTTCTTTCTCTTTCCCTCTCTTTCTGTCTCTGTCCCTTCCCTTCTTCCTTTGCGCTCTCCTCCTAAGCTAGGAGACCCACCTGAAACACACACACACACACACACACACACACTTCCAACAAGGTAGTCACCCGGCAGTGTCGCTCGTGACGAGTCTCCCAGAGTCCCAGGGACCAGGCGCGATTCTCTGTTCATGCCCGGTCCTGAGTTGCCTGGAAAAGCCAGCAGGGTCCAACAAAGAGGCTGCAGGCAGGACTTACACCCCTCCCTCTTTTGGGGAAAGGGCTAGGAACTTCAAGCGAATCTGCAGCCTCGCCCACCGCAGCGGTTTGGGCTTTCCTGACTGCCTTGTCTTATTCCCGTGGCTGGTGGCAGAGGGAAAGGTGAGACCCGTCGCTACTCGGCTCCCTCCCAGCCCACATCTCGTCAGCTGCTGGGGCAACCAGGAAGCACGAGGCTTATGCCGCCTGCATCCCCCTCTGCCAGCGGCCCCTCCGAGCTTTTTGGCCGAGTGAGGGCCATCGCTATGCAAGCTCCATGGGTGGAAGATCCGCTCTCGCGAGGCTTGATTTGCATTATTCTCACAGCGGCGGGCGCGTTCAGTCAAAGCATGCAGGCTGGCAGGTGGCAGGGGAAGGGGCGGCAGGCAAGGGATGTCCCTAGCATGCAAGGTCCAACTCCCGCCCCTAGTAGACAAGACCCAGCAGCTGTGGAGAATCCAGGCATGACCCAAGCAGCAAAGGATCAGCCCTGGCTCGCCTTCCTCTCGGCCACCAGCAAGCCAGGCAACTGGGGTGGGGGGGAAAGCTGAATTGCGCCCTGCGAGGGCCCACCTCCAGCACTCCTCTGCCACCCCCCCCCCCGCCTCTTAGCGCCCCCCTAAGTCATCCCACCGCATGGTACCGCCCACTTTGGGAACCACTGGTTTAGGGCAAGGCTTTGGAATGCTAGAAGTTCAAATGCACACATCTTAAGGTTGGTAAGATTGAGAAATGCTAGTCTAAGTGTTGGATACTGGCAGAAAAACAATCCTTTGGTTTTTCAGTTAGCAGCCTAGAGAAAATTGAGATCCGTTTGAGAGAGCCCCTTCATAAAGGGGACTGGCCAGCAACTATTTTGTAAGAGTAACATTATTTTGGACTCATTTCTCTATTCCCTCATTTTCTTTTTACACTAATTATCTCACCAGAAAAAAGTTATCGATAAAGACGTTTGCATTGTCTTTAATCTGAAGAGGTATCTCCTGTAAAAAAGGTATCTCCTGTATGAATAACCATTTCCTAAATGCCAGGAATTGTAATCCATAACTGTCACAGACAATTAAAACAAGGCCTTGTTGATTTCAGTGGACTTTAAAATGCTGATTTTTTTTTTCAAATGTGATCCAGCATATGAACTGGTACCTAATGCAACAACTAATCATCTCTGGATCTGGTCAGTGCTTTAATGGGAGACTGTCTAGGGAAGCTTGTCTGCACTGCCTTGGGTTAATTATTGAAAAAAAAATGGGTTATAGATATCCTAAGTAACTGTAGTTCTACTTTTCATGCAATAATTAGATCATTACGTCACTTCTTTTTTGGATATAGGAGTCTTATTTGAATATTTGTAATGCACTTTACATGAGACTGCCCTGGAAACTACCCAGAAGCTCTTACTAGTTCAGAATATGGTGGCACAAATAAATAAAAGGCATACCTTGGTACATCCATGAACACCAGAGCTCTCTGAGCTGGGTTGACTCCCTATATATAGATTTCTGGATTTAATTCGGTGTGCTGATTATCACCTATAAAGTCCCTTTAAGGTACTGAATTATGAATATAGTTGTCCAGAGTTTGATATACAGTATGGCAGTTATATAGTAGTTTTTAATAAGATAACTAAAAGACAGTTAAATTGTCTTCATTTGTCTGTCCCATAAGATCCTTCAGGATGAGTGTGCTTCAGGCTCCTTTTTTGAAACCAGACTACCAGGAGGGGACAGGGGTGTACTTTCGTTTTCACAGCACCTGCCCTATGGAACATTACTCCCTCTGAAGTTTGGATGGCTCAGACCCTGCTGGCTTTCCATAAGCCATGTTTCTTTGCTCAGGCACTGGATGAACCCATTCAGAATTAAAGTTTTTTTTTTTTGCAGAGCCTGTATAATTTTGGGCCTGCTTAGTTTCCTTTTGGTTCATTCTGTTCTTGATATCCACGTGTTTGCTGGTTTCTTTTTCTAACTCTTTTGTTTTCATGCTTCTGTACAATTATAAATTATTCAGGATTGATTGCTTTATGAGTTGGGCAGCCTTATAAAGCAAATTAATATAGAAACAAATAATTTGCAAGTACCAAATGTTCTCAGAAGACTGGGTGTTATGAAAAAAATAACTTTAACTGCATCTATACTATAATTTGTAAGTGTGCCATTGTGCCAGCTCCTGTCTTCACCCAGGCTGCTCAAAAACAGACTCCATTGGATTGTTATTTTTATCTGCCTGTGGCACTTTGCCCTTGCTAGCAAAAAAAAAAAAAAAGAATCTCTTTATTTGAAGTTCCTTTTGCTGATTAGTTTTTCAAATCATGCAATATGCCACCCTTTTGAATAACATATGGGCAGCTTGTTTTTAATCATAGGGGTCAGGGAAGGATACCAGATGGGACTTGCATCTGGATACTTTTAACTAGAAACGATGGTAAGTGTGTTGTGTAAACTCTTCTAGTGGGCATATTGAGAGTGATATAATTGTTTTGCAGAATTTGGCTTGATAATTTCCATACAGACCCCTAAGAGCCGCCTTGTGCTGAATTGTTTCTTTGGCTTCCAATGTGCTATCTGATGAATAAAGAATTTTTCCCCTCCTTCCCTATATCACAAATTCAGCAGGAGTTATTTGAATTACACATTTCTGCTAAGACATGAAGCAGGTCTGCCCCTGCAAACAAATTGGAATTACATAGATGCTAGAGTATTGGGTTAATGGATGGGAAAGCATTATACTTAAAATAGCAGAAACTGAAGTGATTTATATAACATTTTTAAAACTTTGTTCTTCAAAATTTAAAATGATCTGGATGAAATAACACAGAACATTGAATGTTGACGTTCTTATCTTTATTTTTTTCACAATTAACTGAAAAGCATTTTGGAGATAAGAAGCTATAGGATTACCGTTTGGTACAGTTGATCTCAAAATACCTTGATAAAGCAGAGATACACATGAAATAAAATAAATGGTTATGTTCCCTGTAAACAAAAGAGATTCCAAGCATATGGTATATTATGTATTGGAATACATTTTACTGCAGGGATTTTCTTTCTTTTAAAGAATCCATGGGACATTACTCATATCCTCTGGAATAAATAATACATAGTTGGAACTTTATTCTTGAAAATATATTTTATTCAGCCTGTGTTAATCTTATTATACTGGATAAAGCCCCATTATTTATAATTACTAGTTTATATGTTCTAAAATATTTTAATTGCTTATTGTATTGCATTTTATATTTAGAAGTGATGACATTGGCAAGTGTTATATAGAAATTAAATACATAAATAATGTAGCATAAGAAATAACCTTAGCATTAGGATCAAGACATTGATATAAAACATATTGCTATAGGCCTTTTGACTCATATTGCTAGAGACTTGTTTTTTATCATTAAAAAAGACATTTCTCAATCACATATTCACATATTTGCATATTCACATGGGCAGGAATACTATTCTGTCAGGTCTCTGCATGGCCACATTTACCAACAATGACTCATTCATTCATCTGACCTTAAATTATGTTTGATGCATAGCAACTTTCTCAGATATAAAATGGAGGGAAGCTGATGTTTTATAATAATGCAAAGACTTTTCCGTGCTTTTGGCTTATAGTAGTCTTAGATTAATTGTAATTCATGGTTGTTTTTCCAAATGATTTTGAAAGAAATTTGGAGGTGGGGGCGCAGTAATAAGGAAAGAGGAAGGTTTTAATCTATGAATATTTTTGTTAGTTCCATTTAAGTGTGATTCTCCATTTTGACTATAGTGACACTTTGGTGTGATTCAGCTCTTTAAACTGTTTTGGAAAAATAATATATTGTGTTTACATTTTGTTTCCCCATAAAATGGTAGTGCACATAAAAATGGATGAGTGATTGACAAATCTACTTTCTTATCACAGGACAATATATTAGAATATTTCCATTAGACTGCTGTGGGAAGAATATTGAATCTTTCATTTCCTTGCAGCCAATCTTATTCTTTTAAAACAAAAATGTGTCACAGGTCCATAACTTAATTAAAACAAAGAATTTAAAGTAGCCTACTTTTCATAGCCCTGAAGTTATTTCTCTAGAATTTATCTCCTCAGAAGGATCTGTTGTGCCTGCATATTTCATCCCAGGTTTTGAAGAAAAAGTTAACTTCAGTAAAAACTAGCAGCTATGTTTCCAAATCTCACTATAGACTTTTTATTATTGCAATTTACAATCTTTAATAAAAAATAATTACAAGACAAATCTCACTATAGGCTCAAAGGTCCCAAAGAAATTGATCAGCTTTCAGAATTGGAATCCAAATGAAATCTAGCAGTTCTCATCAAATTTCCTTTTTGTGTGGGCATAGAATTCCATTGTGAATTTCCAGCTACTTCTGCAATTACATGCTTTTGGGAAAGAGAATATTCCTCAGCTAGAGACAAAATACTCCTATTATAACAAAAAAAGGTATTTTATATCTTTTATTACTTTAATATATGAATGTTGGTTTTTTAATAAAGGTGCCAGGATTGGTCACCGTTCCTTGATGAGATATTACAAGCAGCGATTTGGTTCTTCACGAGCAGTAGCGGTTTCCAGAAATAAACAGACAGTGGGCAGAGTGCTGCAACAATATAAAGCCCTTGGTTGGACAAGCAACTCAGGTGGGCAGATAAAAGCAGTGTATTTACATCAGTGTCCTTCTAGCTTGCTTTTTCATTGTTTTTAACATCTTTGCCAGTACAAATATGTAAATAATAAAAAGCTTCTCCTTGAGGTTCCTGAAAGTAGTTAAATCTACTGATGTTGACAGAATGCTTCTCTCACATTTCAAACTGGATGTCATATTTTCAAGAACTTACACATTTTTAATTCATGTTTTAGCATATAACTTCAAGTTGCCAGTTCTTCCGTCCCCCTTTTTCCTTGTTTGCTTATACAAGGTGAAAATTCAGCATGGTGAAAGTAAAACTATATTCTAAGAGGGTTTTCTCTTATTTATCTGTGCACCTTTCCCTTTACTTCCTCTGGGTGCTGGTAGAATCCTTTTCCCCTCATGGTTATTCTGCAAAAAAAATGTTACAGAATTCTACTGATAGCTCAGTTCTCAGAAATACAGTACAGTAAGTATAGTTGGAAATAGAACATTGAACTAGATAGTCGCTTATGCTGTTCAGTTAGCAGGACCAGATCAATAGACAAACACCATACAGGACAATTTCAAAATGTTTGTGAATTTAAAGTATAAAAGTAGTTGCATTTCCAAAGTGACAGACTTTATGGAGAACATAATATTCCATTGCAGAGTTCATAGCAGGTTTAATCAACTTTTTTCATTTTGAAAATAATTATGTTTTTTGGTGAAATTCAGATATTGGTTCTTTCTCCATTAATGCAGGAGCAGCTCTGGCTCGTGAACATGACATGCAGTACCTTCAAAGGATGAAAGCAAAATGGATGCTGAAAACTAGTATGCAAAATAACATTACAAAGCAGATGCATTTTCGCTCACAAGTCCAGTTCTAAGAACATAATCATAATATTCAGTATTGGAGTAGTGATGCCGCAAACGTATGGCTGATGACTTACCAGTGGTTGCATCTAGGCTGCTATTTCAAATATTTCAGTTGAATGTTGTCAATCAGACTTGCTCAATAAAGCATATGCATAAAATGTATTGTAATTTGGTGATAGTATTGTATCCCAATCATGTGTACTATGTAGCTGGGTTTAAAGTGTAGCTCTTCTCTGGGGATTTCAGATAATATGCATCGTTCTGGCATAACACTTGTAACCATTTCACACATTCTAGTTTCGTGAACTATTTTGCATACTGATTGGTAAACCATTATTGCATTAAAACGTCATCTAATTGGAAATTCACTAAGAATAAGTTTGAATTGGTGCCTGCCTGCCTTGCACTATTAAACACAGCATTCAAGCAGTTCTCTGCTATTCGCAAAGGTAATTTGAGGTAATAAAACATTCCAGATGGCTAGAAGGGGTTGTGGGAACAATTTCATTAACTTATCTTCTGAGAAATCAGTGTTTTATACAATAATTGGCAAGATCCTCTCCACAATCACTTTTTCAAGGTGCCAGTGGGATGCAATATTCCAAAATTCCAGTTAAAGCTACCAGCCCCAAAATGCTGGGGACCCTTGTGCTTAGACAAATTGGCACAGCATGGTCTGATACATTGGGTAGTGACAATTCTCATAATGAACTTAATAGCAATAGCACTTAGACTTATATACCGCATTATAGTGCTTTACAACCCTCAAAGCGGTTTACAGAGTCTTAATACTGCACTTCTACGACGATTTTACTGAAAGTAGAAGGCACATCTGTATACTACTATCTAATTTAAAACAGGTAAGTTTATACATCTTCCAATTAAACTGAACAGTCTTGGATAATTGGTTAGAAAGAGACATCTTGTCTAGAAGGACATTTTTCAAGCAGTACCATATGAGACTATATAATAAGTGACCTTTCTCATTGCCAAATGACTGTGTGAACAGTTAACATTTATTACAGTCAAATTATGTTGCTCAAAAAGAGAAAAAATAGGGAGAATGTGAATTATCAGGAGATGGATCTGCCTGACCTCTCAATATAATACTTAATACAGTCTTGACATGACAGTTTTACATTTGCATCCATTTCAATAGAATTATATCCTTACTTTGCAGAACATTTCCCTTTTAAACAGTATGCTATATATTGTCATGAAAAATCGTATAGTCCTAGGGACCTCTGGGGGAGAAATGGCAGACTGGAGAAGCCTCTGCAAAAAACGAAGTCAAGGACAGTGATAGAATAAAGAACCAGTGAGAAAACTGGCTGTAGCTCCTCTGCGGACAAAGTAAAGACTTAAAATTACACAAAAGTGCTCCAGACAATTGCTCCTTGTGAGGAGAGCATAAGACAGTGGTTTCTAGCAAATTTAGAGCTCTGAGAGACAAGGAAATAGCCATTTTGCTCAAATCACAGTTGGTGTCTTCAAAAAGACACTGGATTCACATACCGTATATACTCGAGTATAAGTCGACCCGAATATAAGCCGAGGCACCTAATTTTACACAAAAAAACGGAAAACTTATTGACTCGAGTATAAGCCGAGGGTGGGAAATGTAGCAGTTACTGGTAAATTTCAAAAATAAAAATAATTAATTTGGGAAACGATCTCACTATCATGAAAGGTTTAATTGATTCACTAACCCAAAAGAAGAAGATGATGATGACAGCGGGAGGCAGGAGTCACTCTCTTCCCCTCCCTCGGAGGCCCCCTGAGTCAGGAGTCACTACCGCCGGCGCGGCCCCAGTCCCGCCGCCTCGGGAAGGGAAAGGCAAAGCGCTTTTTGCCTTTCCCTTCCCGGCTGGGGCTGTTGGGAGTCGCTGCCGCCGGAGGCCGCGACTCCACACCATTTTTTTTTTCAGAGGGGAATCTGACTCGAGTATAAGCCGAGGGGGATTTTTTCAGCACAAAAAATGGGCTGAAAAACTAGGCTTATACTCGAGTATATACAGTACTTTTCTAATTAGTTTTGGGAATTGCTTGTTAATTGCTTTTAAGCTATTAGGAACCTTTGGATTGACAAGTCTGAAAACAGTGGGTGCGTATCCTTCAATCCTTTGCAAAAGATGCTTTAAATTCAAGTTTTGTATGTTTTATGAATAAATAGCAAATGGGTGATTAGAACTTTGATTCTGGAAAGTTACAAATACCTTACTAAAACTCCTGTCTCTAACCTTCAATTGGGCAAAATGGTGCATCATAGGGCAAACATTTTTGAACCACGTTACCTCAAAGGAAGTAACTTAATGCATCCAAAATCCAGAACCCATGGGGCTACCTACAGCACCACTGAAGTCAGCCATGGTCATAGGAACTTGCTTTCCAATGTTCCCTGCCAGCTTCTCACATGAAAAATCAATGGGGAAGCTGGCAGGAAGTTGGAAATAACTTATGTTCCCATTGCTGTTGTGTTCACCCGTGATCATTCTGCATATAACAGACAAGACTTTAATCAATTTCACATGTTCAGCTTTTGTTTGCCTCCAAAGTGGCTCAGGGTTCTGAGCCTCCTAGGCAGATACCAATGCTAGCATATTCTTTTCTGTGTGTATTCCCCATTGTCTGCCTGCTTATTCTCTTGCAGTCTCCAATGGGTGTAAATACATTAATTCTCTTCTTGCTAATTATCCCAGCGCCAAGTGGGCATTCCAAAGGGTGGAGAAGTGGGTGGGGGGAGGAAAATTGAACTAAAACCATAAGCACAGTTGCAGTCGTGTAATTGTTCACTTAGCAACCATTTCACTTAACAACCAAATTGTTGGCCTGAATTCTGCTAGCTAAACAAGGGCTACCTGTACTTAACAAACATAAGCAAAACTTTTCTGGGCCAGCCCAAAGTTATACTGAATATTTTGTTTCTGTTTCCTATAAAGACTGAGTTGATTCCATTGGAAATTTGGAAATCCTTATCCACAGTAACTTGTATTTTATGGAGGGTGATGTGTACTATTAATGCCTGTTTTGCCCCTGCACTTCATATAATTTTCAAGATTGGGGAGTTTGGTCAGCACTTTTTTCAACTGATAAAAAGTCATGTTTGACCTATGTGAAAGTCAATTCTTTCTGTTGCGAGACAGCAATGACTGCACAATATTCACTCCAGTTTCTGAATATAGCACTCTAATCTTGAAACACTCAATACTGCAAACATGCATCAAATACCGAAATGGCTTCTAATCAATGCACTGTTCAAAAATGAGCAACAGATCTCTGCAAAATTATTCATATTGCAATACTAAGCCTCTCTCACACTAGATTATCTTCTGCAAGAGTAACAGATTTCCGAAGGATTAACAATTACTAATCTACATTACCATCAACAAGACTAACAGCAAGATCAGTATTATATATATATATATTTAAAAAGCTCAGAAGTGTTTGGTTTTTTTTTTTAAAAAAAATGAAAGGATATAAACTGTCTTCTTTGTTACTTAGAAGAAGATGGATTCAGTGATTCAAGTCCATTAAAAAACATGTCAAGTCTTGCAACATGAGTAATAGAATTCATCGATCAAATTTGTCATGAACTGCTCTTGTAAACTGAATCAAGGTACTTGTCAATATTGGATTGGAAAACTATCAAGAAGTACTGAAAATGCTATATCATCCTGTAATAACCTTAAAGGCATTAAAGTGATTAGGAACGAGTTATTAAGGATACATTATATAGTATCTTAAAATGCACTAATATCCCCACTGATTAAAAAAAAACCGTGTTGCTTAGTTCATCTCCCCCTTTATTATTCAATAGAATATTAGAAATTATGAAAAGGGCTTGGGATTCTGGACATCTGCCTGTGTCTGACCATCAGCAGGAAAATGGAACAGAATGGGTCAAATTTTGACAAGATGGGAGAAGGCAGCAAAAGAAAGACTGAATGTATATCCCCACTGGAAAAGACAGGTAGTAGAATGGAAAGTTGTTATATTCTCAGCCTTTCTGTCTTCATGTGACCCCAAATACAGAGTATGGAGCAGGGGTGGGATTCTACCGGTTCTGTCCGGCTCTACAGAACCGGTAGCTCTGAAGAGCAGCAGATACAGAACCAGTTCTGTGTCTGCTGCTGTTTTGGCCTACCTGCCTGCCCGGGCTCTTACCTGTCCTTTATTTCCTACTTTTACAACCGCAGCTGCTTTGTGCGACACAGCTGTAGTTGAAAAAGCAGGGGAAAAGAGCTTTTCCAACCACTGCATACCCACACACAGCACTGCTCAGCTGTCCGGGCAGCTCAGCATGTTGTAAATTGCACTCGTGCGACTCGCGCATGTGCGCGCGCGACACATAGCAACAGATCCGGTAGTTATACCAGTCAGATCCCATCCCTGGTATGGAGCCCACCCTGTGCTTTTCAACATGCACAAGTAAATGCACAAGTATAAAATGAAGGGAAAACAGAAACCTACACAGTACACAATTTCATTACGCTGTAAAAGTAGACACTTCCAATTGCCAATTTTGGCAATTAGTTCTAGAAGTTAGGCTCCTGCACTTTTCCTAATGTCTTCAGTCACACTATCCATTTCCTGCCTAAATTCATCTATGTAGTGGACTTCCACTGACAAGAGAACAGACTGAAATGTTAAGTTTTTTTTTTTTTTTCATTTCAGAAGCCAGCCTGTCACACTTGAACAACCTAGGGCTAATAAAATAATCCTGTATTCTGAACCACTATATATTCTTAACTTATTTGATTGATTGATTGATTGATTGATTGATAACCTGGTTGTCCTCTAAGAATATGCATTGTGCTTTCTTTGCCCATTTTTCCACACAACCCTGTGACTCAGTACAGTGATTGGAGAGACCAACTGGCCCAAGTTATCTAGCAGGAATGACCTTGAGGAACAGAAGGAAGAGCTGCTACCAAGACAATAATCAGATAAAAGAAAGTTAAATCCAGAGCAGAACTGTAGCCTGAGGAAATGTCTCAGACAAGATCCTTCCTAGCATTCACAAGTATAAAGGGAAGGAGAAAGGAAACACACTCAGGCTTGCAACAGAGTCACCATTACTTTATAATAACAATAGTACTGACCTGCATGACTTTACTTTTCTAGTCTAATCTAATCTACCTCTAATAGACTAGATGTCTAGG